TCAAGAATTCCATTTAAGGCATTATTTGAAGTTGTTTAGAGGGGAATGTTGGGAGAGACCAACTGGGTCACTGCTTCTGCTCCACCATATTGCAGTAATGAAGTTAGGAGGAGTGGAGGAAGAGGGCAGAGTCCCATCAGATGGCCTCAGTCTGGGAGGCTGAATAATCTAGGAGAAGGGTTGAGAGCGCAGTTTATTAAAGGCTTTTGGAAATTCTTTAATACTTTAAGAAGGTATATGATGTTCTAAGACACTTATCTCAAACTCTTCAAAAAGACTTTAAAATAGAAAAAGGTAGGAATTACTAGAAGATGTTTCTACTGCAATTCCTCTAATCTCTTTACCTTCTTTTCTGCCTCAGCAATTCTCTAGAATGTAATGTAGTCTCTTCTTTTGAAATGGATTTGATGAGGGTACTTAGCTCAAGGGAATCCACATTACAGCAGAATGCCTGTTTCTTGCTCCTAGCACTTGAAATGTCCCAACCCTTTGCCCCAGAGAGGAGGGGGACGTATGTCTAGAAACAAAAAACTCCTTGATTCCAGGTCTCCTCTGTCCTGCCTACTTCACCCAGGTCTGTAGGTGGGTGCTTTGGTGCTTGTCTTCTGGGAACCCACCTTGAAGAAAGATACCAGCTTTGAATGGGCATAGAAGAGGCAAGTGCTCTACTGTTTTTCATAGATGAAAGTATATGCATTGCATTATATACCACTAATTTGAACTTCCCCTTTATTAACTTTCCTTCCTTCCACTTCACCCTCCCTCCCACATTTGTCCTCTGTTATACTACTAATATGCTTAGGTTTTGGTTATCATTTTAGAAGGTGCCTCTCTGGATGGATCTGATGTGTGTCATTATGATTGTTAAACAAAGAATTCCTGGACGTATCTCCTGTATGCTTTTCCTCTGCCCGCTGAGCTATCTTTAATATAATAAATTTTATTCAGCAGAAAGTCAAAACTATAATCCACTTTAGTTGCATAAGTCTTCAGAAACAATAATACTATTTAAAAACTCATTGGCCTCCTTCCATTAAATACTTAAAGTGTTTACACTGGAAAAGGTACATGGGTACATATCCATCCTTTGTCTTTTTAACATTCCCTTCACTGATTGCATTTGATTATTTTCTCCTCTAAAGCAGAGATTATTAACTATTTTTGTTTCATGAACTGCTTTGGCAGTCTAGCGTAGCCCATCCAGTGGTGGGGAAGCTGCAGCCTCGAGGCCACATGTGGCCTTCCAGGTCTTCGGGTGTGGCCTTTTGACAGAACCAATTCTTTTATTAAGGGGATTTATTCTGTGAAATTTGGATTCAAACAAAGCACCACACTTGAGGACCTAGAGGGTCACATGTGGCCTCAAGGCCACAGCTTCCCCATCTCTGCTAGACCCTATCTGAAAAAAAAAATTTTTTTTAATCATAATTGAAGGAAAGGCCAAATTTCAGATAGAGGTTAGTGAAAATATGGAGATTTTTTTTTCTTCTTTCAAGAGCACAAATCTCCCTTGAAATCTATCCACTAAGCTCTTGGGGCGATCTGTGGGCCTTAGGTTAAGAACCTCTGCAATCCCACTCCTGTAGGCCATTTTGAGTGAGATAGTGTCACTGTATCAGAGAGAGAAGAAGCGGGAGGCAATGATACCTTTTTAGTATCTGAGCTCAGACATAAGGAAATAGTACTTTGCAAACAGGTTATACTGGTACAACACGGTTTTTAAAAAAGCAAACAAAAACTAATGCTGGCTGGCTGTGGTTGGATTTTTTAAGTTATTGTGAAAAGAAATTTCTTTTAAAAATAATCTTCTGGGGCAGCTAGGTGGCTGGATAGGGAACCAGTCCTGGAGTCAGAAGGACCTGAGTTCAAATTTGACCTCAAATATTTGACACTTACTAGCTTTGTGACCCTGGACAAGTTGCTTAACCCCGATTCCCTTGCCAAGAAAAAAAAAAGCTTCTAGGTAGGATGGCTAGAAAGCATATTTTAAATGGCAATGACTTCTTCTTTGTCACTTTATTTTATTCTCAAGTCACTCATTTGGGGAATAGTATCTAAACTCATTTTATTCTGAGATTTGAATTAGTCTTTAGAGTTAGCTGCCCAGGATCACACAGGCAGTAACTGGAAGAGCAGATATTTGAATCTACATTCTCTGACTTTTTTCCCCCATAATAGCACACAGCTTCCAAATATAGGGTCAGATTGGCCTCTCTCCACAGGGTAGGCCATTAAACAGATTCTCCTCATGCCAATCTCTGAGCAAGTTCCCGTGACAGGAAGACACTCATTTTGCTCCTCCCCACCTCACATCTCTTCAGCTCAGACTCATAATTTTGAAAACCAGATTCTTTTCCAGTCCACTGGGCAAGTGCTTCTTACCCTGCTTTAAATTTATCATAAGCTCACAAGATTTGTACAGCTACATGTTCATAGGTTATGATACACCTTTATATTTCTCCTCAGGACTTACCTGTTACAGCAGAAAAAAAAGTATTCTTTGGGGAAGTTCAAAACATAGATGTGAATCCCAGGTCTGACATTTAATACTCTGGGCTTATGTGTCCTTATCTGTATTTTTTTTTAACAGAAAGGTTGTCGGTTGTGGTAGTGCACACCTGTAGTTTCAACTACCAGGGAAGGTTGAATGTGGTAGATCTCCTGCACTATGGTGTTCTGAGCTATAGTGGGCTAAACCCAACAGGTGTCCTCACTAAGCCAGACTCCAGTATCGTGTGGAAGATTTGCAGGGGATGGAATGGGTTGCCTAAAGAGGGGCAAACAAGCCCCAGTCAGAAACAAAGTAATCATCAGGTGGGCAAATTATAGGCAGGCAGGGAGACCCAGTCTAGATGCCCCACCCAGATGGATAGATAGATGGATAGATAGATAAAATCAAATAAATGAAGAGGTTGGATTATATGGTGTCTAAGGCTCCTTCTAGCACGAAATCTAGGAAGCTCCATTTATCTGCACTGCCCACTTTTGATAACCTCTCCAGATTAATCAATCTGCCACAGTGCCTGGCACAAATCAAGCACTTAATAAATGTTTGTTGAATGATCCAATCTTCATTTTCTTCCTCTGCATTTGCAACAAAAGTATTACAGTTCTTCACATAAGCAGATCACCCTGATAAAATTTCAAGTTTGTGCTGTGAGTACATGTGAATATAATCTGAATAGCTTGGGGGTGGGAGGGAGAGTAGTGAACACAGTGTACTTCTACTGTAAGTCCTGTTATTGAAATAGGCTTGGTGAGGACGGGCAGAATCCAGGTAAGTTCTTAGCACAGCCTCATAGCTTACTCTGTTAATCAGCCTGATTTTTTATGTATATACAGACCCTCTCTTGTTGTCACTCCCTCTGAAAAGGAAATAAAAGTTGAAAAGGGGGTAATTGATTTAGGACAGAAGACAGTTCTGCTGTGGGACTCTGAAGAGTGTAGAGCATAAAATCCAGGAGGTGGTCTGTCAGCTCCATGAGGGCCTGGACAGCTTTTCATTGCTGTCTGTATTCCTGGGCCCTGGCATTGTGCTTCTAGTTAGTAGACTATTGGTAAATGTCTGTTGAATTGAACTGACAAATCATGGTCTCCTTGTTACCAGCAGTCTAACGGAAATGGAAGGAACTTGTTCCTTTCTCAAAGTTATATTTAATGTCAGGGCTTTTGAACCTGTGGCCAGTCATTCTGTCTGTGGATCAATCCATGACGTGTTTCTGTCCCAATGTGATTGTTTTCCAGTCAGTTTTTACTATGCAGAATGCACGAATTCAATGAATCTGCAAATAGAAACCGTGTACTTTCTCAGTCCAAGGATTGAGAGTCCCAGGATTTTTCTTTCTGTCAGAATTGAACTAGAAGAGGCAGCTGGTGCTTAGTGCATGGAGCGTTGCTCCTGGAGTCAGGAAGATCCAAGTTCAGCTTGTGAGTCAGACACTTGCTACTTGTCTTACTTAGAGAAAGTCGCTTCTGTTTGTCTCAGTTTCGTTGACTGTAAAATGAGGATAATAACAGCATCTAAATCACAGTTATGAGGATCAAGATAGTAATTGTAAAATGTTTAGCACAGTGCCTGACACTATCTAAATTGTTATTCCCTTCCTCTTCCCCCCCCCCCGAGAAAATCTCTGCCTCCTTCCATCCTTTTAATCAAGGTGAATCATTCATCTGCCTTTCGGTAACAAGTTTGTATAGATTCCCAACAGTGTTAATTTATGGAGAGTTGCATCTCACTTGAAATGGTGACTAATGAAAACTTCATCCGTGCTTTCTTGTAGTTAGGCTGTTTCAGTCATGTCTGACTCTTCATTACCCCATTTAGGAGTTTTATTGGTAGTTACTGGAGTGGTTTGCCATTTCCTTCTATTTATTATTATTATTATTATTATTTACAGATGACGAACTGAGGCAGAGTTAGTTAAGTGACTTGCCCAGGTTCACACAACTAGTAAGTAAGTGTCTGAGGCCGGATTTGAGTTCATGATGATGAGTCTTCCCAATTCCAAATCTAGGGCTTTATCCACTGTGCCACCTATTAAGCTTTTTTTTTTTTAGGGGGGGGTGAGGCAGTCTGGCTTAAGTGGTTTGCCCAAGGTCACACAGATAGTAAGTGTCAAGTGTCTGAGGCCAAATTTGAACTCAGGTCCTTCCGATTCCAAGGCTGGAGCTTTATCTACTGCACCATCTAGCTGCCCCCCATTAAGCTTTTAAAGGCATGACTCAATAATATGATTTATGGCAAGAAGTCCCTCCTTCAGAGATCAACAATTATAATATTGAATGTATCTTTAAAATATTTCTGTAGCATTATTATTGTATAGTTTACTTTTATTTGTACTATTTTTTTTTTACAATGTTGTTTGTCCATGGTAGGAGAATAGAGGTTCACACAAGTATAGTGTTAACATAAGCTTACCAAAAAAATGTACATGAAAGTAATAAATATCATTTGGCCTTTTTTTGTTAACTTACTAATTAGCAATTCTTTTTATTTTCAGGTTTTGGTGATAAGCATGGCCAAACCATATGAATTTAACTGGCAGAAGCCAGTTTCCCCATTTATTCAAGAGGGAGCCATTTTTGACAGATATGAAGAGGTAAAGATATTTGTTACTAATGTTTTCTCTTAAATGTTTTCTCCCAATATATTTTCATTTAATTAAACATTTCTCAATTACATATAAACATTTTAATTTTTTTTTTAATTTTGACTTCCAAATTCCCTGTCTCCCACCTCCCTAACCTTTTCCATGAGAAGGCAAGCAATTTGATATAGATTATACATGAGAAGTAATGCAAAACATTTCTATGTTAGCCATGTTGCAAAGGAAAACACAGAATAACAAAAATAAGAGAAAAAAAGATGCTTTGATATGCATTCAGACTCCATCAGTTCTTTCTCTGGAAGAAGACAATATTTTTCATCTTAAGTCCTTCAGCATTATCTTGGATCATTGTATTGATCAGAATAGCTAAGTTACTCACAGTTGATCATCATGCAATATTTCTATTACTATGTAGAATGTTGTCCTGATTCTTCTCCTTTACTTTGCATCAGTTCATGTAAGTCTGCCAGGTTTTTTCTGAAATTATCCTGCTCATCATTTCTTTTGTAAATTAAGAAAATATTATTTATTTATTTATAACATTCTTTTCTTTTTAAATTTTGAGTTCCAAACTCTCTCTCTCCCTTCCAGGTCCTTACACTTAAAAGGCAAGCAACATAATATCAATTCTACGTGTGAAATCATGCCAAACATATTTCCCTATTAACCATATTTTTAAAAAGCAAGAAGAATAAAATGAGAAAATTATACTTTAGTTTGCACTCAGAATTCATCAGTTCTTTCTCCAGAGATGGCTATCATTTTTTCATGACGAGTCCTTTGGAATTGTCTTGGATAATTGTCTTGATTACGGTAGCCAAGTCTTTCACAGATCCTCACAACACTGCTGTTACTGTGCACAATAATTTCCTGGCTCTTCTCACTTGCATTTGCATCAGCTCATATAGATGTTGCCATGTTTTACTGAAACCATCCTCCTCTTCATTTCCCATGGCACAAGAATACGCCATCGCAATCATTGGCCAAAAACTTGCTCAGCCATTCCCCAGGGGATGAGCATCTCCTCAATTTCTAATCCTTTGTCACCACGAAAAGAGCTTCTGTGGATATTTCTGGATATGTAGGTTCTTTTCCTTTTCCATGATTTCTTTGGGATGCAGACTTAGTAGTCATGTTGTTGGGTCGAAGGGCATGTAGAATCTTACAGCTCTTTGGGCATAGGTCAAAATTCTTCTCCAGAATACTTGGACCAGTTCATTATTCCACCAACAATTTATTAGTGTACCTATTTTTCCCTCAGGCCCTCTAGCATTTCTCATTTCCTAAAGGTGTGAGGTGGTGCCTCAGCGTTGTTCTAATTTGCCTTTCTCTAAACAATAGTGACGTAGAGCATTTTTTCATATGACTATAGATAGTTTTGATTTCTCCCTTTGAAAATTGCCTCTTCATATTCTTTGCCATTTATCAATTGGGGACTGACTCTTTTTTTTTTTTTGCATTAGGGAAATTGGGGTTAAGTGACTTGCCCAGGGTCACACAGCTAGTAAGTGTCAAGTGTTTGGTCTGAGGCTGGATTTGAACTCAGGTCCTCCTGACTTCAGGGCTGGTGCTCTATCCACTGCGCCACCTAGCTGCCCCTAGGGACTGACTCATTTTTAAAATTGCACTCAGTATATATTTGAGAAATGAGACCTTTCTCAGAGAAACTTAATGCAAAAATTTTGATATTACTTCATTGTCTGTGGTACCTTTAAGCATGATGTAGTTTCTCTGATTATCCCTTTTAATTAGGTCTATTTTTGCTATTCTCTCTCTCTGAGATCATGATCAGTACCCCTGCCTTTTTTGTAGTTCAGCTGAAGCATATTAGTTTCTGCTCCAGTCCTTTAACTCCATATGTGTCTTTCTTTTTCAAGTGTGTCTGTTGTAAACAACATATTGTGGGATTCTGATTTCTAATCCATTATGCGTATCCACTTCTGTTTTATGGGCAAATTCATCCCATTCACATTCAGAGTTATGATTACTGACTGTGTATTTCCTTCCATTCCATTTTCTTCTGTTTCTTCTCTGTCTTGTTTTTTCCTGTCCCTCCTCAAAAGTCTATTTTGCATCTAACCTGCTTCCTTATTCTGTCCTGTTTTTTTTTTTTTATCATCTTTCCTCTTTCCCTTATCCCCTTCCTCTCTTATTTCTCTGTTGGGTAAATTGCATTTATATACACAACTGAGTGTGCATGTATTTCTTTCCCTCTTTGAACCAATTCCAAAGAGAGTGAGATTCAAGCATTGCCTACATACTCCCTCACCCCTGCTTTCAATGAGGATGAACACAGCACCAAGGTCAGCTACTGCACTGATGATAAATTCTTCAACTTGGGCTACAAGTGTTGGTGCATGATTTTCTGTTTGCAGATGATTGTGCGGTCTGTGTAGCCTCTGAAGCTGAGATGCCACAAAGTATGGATCAGTTCTCTCCTGCTTGTGCTAATTTTGGCCTAACAATTAACACAAAGGAAACACAAGTCTGCCATCAGCCAGCACCACACCATCCATATGTGGAACCATTGGTTACTACAAATGGAGAAGTTTTGAATGCTGTGGATAAGTTCAGTTATCTCGATAGTATACTTTCCAGAGATGTGTACCTTGCTAATGAAGTTGAAGTATGCATTGTCAGAGCTAGTTCAGTATTTGGGAGGCTCTGAAAAAAAGTATGGGAAAGAAGAGTTTTTAGACTGACTACCAAACTGAAGGTCTATGGAGCCATTGTGCTGACATCATTGTTATATGCTTGTGAAATCTGGACAGTGTATCAGCACCATGCCAAGAAACTGAATCGCTTTTATTTGAATTGTCTTAGGAAGATTATGATCACCTGGCAGGATAAGATACCCGACACTGAGCTCCTTTCTCAAACTAAACTGCCAAGCATTCAAACTCTGTTTCAGAGAGCACAGCTCTGATGGGCTGGCCACGTTGTTCGATTGCAAAACATACGCTTGCCAGAAAGACTTTTATGGAGAATTCACACTGGGGAAGTGTTCAGAAGAAGCGGCACAAGACACTCTCAAGGTTTCTCTTAAGAACTTTGGGTGACATGGGAGACACTGGTGTAGGACTGCCCAGCCTGGTGTGCCCACATCAGAGAAGGTGCTGCGTTCTATGAGCAAAGCAGAATTGGAACAGCTCAAAGGATGTGCAGATTTAGAGAATCCACCCCAAGTGTTCACACGGGCCATTTGTGCCCGAGCTGTGGTAGAGCATTCCAAGCTCACATTGGTCTGATCAGCCAGTCAGACACACTGAACTTGACTCGAGCATGGTGATGTCATTTTGGTCCTCTTGGAGAATGAAGGGCAGCAACCAACAAAGCCACCCCTCCTTTTCCCTTCCATTGTAAAGGCGCTTCCTTGTGAGCCTCTTTTATGTGACAAAAACGTCCCCATTCTATCTCTGCCTTGTGCTTTCTCTCAGTGCAGCCCTCATTCTCATATTTTCATTTTTGATGGAGATCATTCCAACATAATTGACTCACATCCATGACCTCTCTCTAGGTAGACTCCTTTTAACTGGCCTGATAATGATAAAGTTCTTAGGAGTTACATGTATCATATTCCCATATAGAAATATAAATACTAGCCTCCTGCCAGCACTCTTGCTTCCTGCCCACCTGCCCACTGGTTTCTTGTGTAGAAACTGCCTCAGTCCTAGAATGTGTGGCTTGTGGAGGGGCTTTCCCGGTGTGGAGGGACTTGAGAACCACCTGAGCTATGGCCGCTGTCCAAAAAAAAAGTTGGTTATAGTTGGTGATGGTGCATGTGGGAAGACATGCTTGCTGATTGTAGTTAGCAAAATCCAATTCCCTGATATGTGTGTACCCACAATGTCTGAAAATTATGTAGCAGATATTGAAGTGGATAGAAAACAGGTGGAGTTGGCTTTGTGGGACACTACTGGTCAAGATTATGATCGCCTTAGACCTCCTTCCTACCCAGACAACAATGTTGTGCTTATGTGTTTTTCCATCGATAGTCCTGATGGTTTAGAAAACATCCCAGAGAAGTGGACCCTGGAGGTGAAGCATTTCTGTCCCCATGTGCCCATTATCCTGGTTGGGAACAAGAAGAATCTTCAAAATGATGAGCACACAAGAGGAGAGCTGGCCAAGATGAAGCAGGAGGCAGTGAAACCTGAACAAGGAAGAGATATGGCAAATCAGATTGGTGCATTTGGTCATACAGAGTGTTCATCAAAGACCAAAGATGATGTGAGGGAGGTTTTTGGAACGGCCACAAGAGTGGCTTTGCCAGCCAAATGTGGAAAGAAGAAATCCGGGTGCCTTCTCTTGTAAACACATTGGAAAGCCCAAGCCTTCACTTGGTTAATTTTTGAAGCATTGTTAATCTTAGTGTGTGATTACTGGCCTTTTTCATTTATCTATAATTTACTTTAAGAGATTTACAAATCAGAAATCATCTTGCTACCAGTATTTAGAAGCCAACCATGATTGTTTAATGGCAGTTTATGCCAATACATCTGGGCACACCAGGGTCCTGCTGACCTTACTCTTAATAACTTTATTCATTTTCCCAACCAGCTTTTCTGGCACTAATTCAAGGGAATTCTTAACTTCTTTCTTCTTTCTAGAAAGAGAAAAGGTGATAACTTTTGTCAATTGGACTTTAACTACAGCATGTCCTGTTGCTGTCAGTTACAAGGCCCTCTGTGAATACAGTAAATACAAAGTCATTCAGAGCAGGATCTCTTGTAAGACTTTTATTGGTAAAGCTCTGGGGTATTATTCAATTGTTTGAAAATAGGACCCAGTCAAAGATGGCAAGTCCCCATAACACTGTGGCAAAGCTGCAGTTCTGTGGTTTCATGTTAGTTACCTTAGAGTTACTGTGTAATTAGTGCCACTTAATGTATGTTACCAAAAAAATAAATATATCTGCCCCAGCTTAGATGTAATTTTTTTTTTGTATCATTGGATTTCCTAATACTGATATTTGTTATCTCTACAGAAAG